GGGGCAATGGAAGCTGAGTGATAGGGTCTCTCCAAGTGATTGCCAGAAGTGAGATGTGTCCTGGTCTTGTGTCTTACAGATAATCTTACAAATAGTCCTTTGCATTTATATCATGCTTTCAACTTTAAAAGGATCATAATGCTGATTGTGTGAATTTAGGCAAATCACGAGAAGTAGAGCAGGAAGGGTTGCATCAGTGCTTAGTTCTTGTGGCCCTTTTTTACAGGCCCAGGGAAATGCTGATCACCACTTTGGGGCCAGGAAGCAATTTTTCTCCAGGCCAGTTACAGGGGTCACTGGGGTGTGTGGGGGGTATTGGTGAATTTCCTGCATTGTGCAGGGAGTTGGACTAGATGACCCTGGAGGTCCCTTCCCACTCTATGAGTCTATGATTCTATAATTCACCCAGGCTGGCTGTGGGCACCCCAGCACCTCTGTCAGGCAGAAGCGTCTGAGATCCTCCCCCTCCCCTTTTCCTTCACCCGACTTGGAGGCAAAGGGAAGGGAGAGGGCCGAAAGAATGGATCCCAGGTGCTTCTGCCTGTCAGAGGGGCTGGTGCACACTTCCAGTGATGTCAGGGGGAGTGGCATATGCTAATAAGTTAGTTGGACTAGATGACCCTGGAGGTCCCTTCCCACTCTATGAGTCTATGATTCTATAATTCACCCAGGCTGGCTGTGGGCACCCCAGCACCTCTGTCAGGCAGAAGCGTCTGAGATCCTCCCCCTCCCCTTTTCCTTCACCCGACTTGGAGGCAAAGGGAAGGGAGAGGGGGGAAAGAATGGATCCCAGGTGCTTCTGCCTGTCAGAGGGGCTGGTGCACACTTCCTGTGATGTCAGGGGGTGTGGCATATGCTAATAAGTTATGTTAATGAGCTCCTGCAGCTCTTTTTCTACGAAATGACCCCTGGATATAACTAAACGTGATATTGCTAAATTCAAGCAGCCTGAACCTCTGTGTGTTTACCCAAAGCAAGTCCAATTGAATTCCTGGGTTTACTTTACTTTAACTGTACATAGAATTGCAGCCTAAAATAAAAGAAGGGAGGCTATTTTATTCAAAGTCAGGAAAAATTGTTATAAGGATTTTGGGGCAAGGGGTTTCATCCAAACGTGTTTTCTAAAAGGAGAGAATTGATGTTTTCTTCCTGATAATTTAAGCTTTAAATATCAAATATAAATTAAGTAGCAGAAGCAAAGGAATGGAGACACTGGGTTTTAATTCTGTGGGCAAAAAGTGATACAAAGCCCTGAAAGGGATTTATACTTCCCAAGATGCATCCTCATGACTGCATTGATTCTCTAAGTAGTCAAGTTTTTGTGCCTCCCAACCCTTTTGTCAAATTTGTGTTAGTGTTATTAAAAAGGCCTTAATATTTTCAAAGCTCATGTTTTCAGCTCCTTTTACAATAGTGCCTGCAATACAATACAATAGTTTACAATAGTGAACCATAGCAAAAGTAGAGCTTACCTCCTGCAGGAAATTCTTACATTTCAAAAAACAAAAAATGCAATCTCTCTGAACTCTTTGCTTGATGGGGGGGGGGCGGGGGGCGGGGGAGCAAACAACAGAATGCTGAGACAAGAAAAGCGCATGTCTGTATTCCTGCCTCCTTATGCTGAGGCCTGTGCAACTGGAGAAAGCAGAGCTCTGATTGGGTAAGAAGGGCTGTCTATTTGGCTGTCCTATTCCCACTTCCTTGCATCTCTTAGCTGCTCAGTTAGAAAACACTGGTTATTTATATGCCTGATATTTTCTCACTTGCTTTCCTGGACAGAAAGGACAAAGAACACTGACAATTGATGAGGCCTGAAAAATGTTTGGTGGGGCATTGATCCTGTTTGCCCCATGTGGCTAGAGGCCTGGGTGGGAGCTTTCGCAAGTTCCCATTGCCAGATAATTGATGAGGATTTTGAACCTTGATCTCCCAAGTCCAAGTCCAACATCCACATCTTTTACAATAGTGCCTGCAATACAATACAATAGTTTGCAATAGTGATCTATGGCAATAAAATTGGAGCTTACCTCCTGAAGGAAGT